GTGTGTGTGTTCATATCTTTGTGGGAGGCATGTTTGTGAGTCTTTGTGTGTTTGTAGTGTCAGGGTTACAGGTCGTGGTTGGGGTCAGGGAAGCATTATGTCCCTGACATGTCCTCACTATGATATGAAAGCGAGTGTGTGTGTGTGTGTAGCCAGTAGGTGGCGCTGCTGTCGCGCCTCGTGGATGTTGGGTGTCTGGACGAAGGCCCACTGTCTGTATTTTGAGGATCATAAATGCGTCTCCAGAAACACAGCTGATTATTCTTGCTGTTTATTGTGAAATCAGTTCCTGTAGCACACGGTCAGAGATGAAAATACTTCCTGTGAAAACAGAAGCGCGTAATGACACGAGGAAATGTGTTTCCTTGTAGAACATCCATCACCTGGAAACTGCTCTGTTTTAGCTGCACGTATATTATCAGAGAGGAGTGAACGGTTCCCGTGCTGGAGGCAGAAGCTAGCGTCAGAGCGTGCTGTGCCTGGCTTCCTGCGGTGCCCTCTGCGTCGCTGGAGCACCTTTACCTCCAGTTTGTCTCTTACTCCAGGAGGGTTGGTGGTAGGACACAGCTGTTGGCCCTCTCCCGTCCGTGCGTCCTTCTCGGAGGTGAACTGAGGGTAAACCACAAACCCCCCAACAGCCAGTGATGGATGGAGCCGTCCTGGCCTATCCTGGCCCGCCTGTCTCTTCTTAGGACGCGAGCGCGCTTTAACATCACGCAGCTCCCTTCCTCCATGTCTGGCCCATTAATCTAAGCCCAGTGTTACCGAATCTGTCTTCAAGCCCTTTATGAAGATGGGAGACAAGGTCTTCGACTTCCTGCAGTGAGATGAATAGCGAAGCTGTGTTCGAGCTTGAAAGGCTAGGATGACGAGTTGCAGCGTGGAGTGGATCGCTGCCACGGCTCATTGGAAGCAGATGCTTACAGGAGGCTTGGATTGATGTCGAGGAGTCATTACAGCGTTGGTCCCAGTGTTGGTTTAATGGCCTGGCCTGCGGAGCATGTGTGTAAGCCATTAATGGGCCAGAGTGAACTCGTTGTCTTCGCTCTGCCTCATTGTGCACTGCTGACTGATCTGCATTCGCTCAGTTGTGGCAAAGCTGTAAAAAGCTCTAATGCGATGTTGTGAACTCCATTACAGTGTTCCTCGACTAATAATCGTAGCAGCTAACCAGTGTGACACGAAGACGCTCCGCACATTCATTCCTGAGTATTAGCTTGGGTGTCGGGTCATTTGGACGGTCAGAAACGAGCGGGCTCGCGCGGTTGTTCAACTGCCCCGCAGGACGTGATGATGCGATGACGTTTGGCTGCTCCGGAGTCGTTTTATGCCACAGAGTAGCTTTGACTGCAGGAGGTTTCCAGTTGAGTTCAGGATGATTTTGCATTTTGGGCCTGAACGTTCGCTTCGAGCGCTTCCAGGGTCGCGGGAGCCCTCCCCAGCCGCACACAGACACACACTCCCAGCTTTGGCTGTGGCCAGATGTTGGATTAGAACCCTGGACCGTCTTGCTGTGAGGCAACGGTGCTGACCGCTGCACCACCGTGCCTTCTGTTATTACGTTCAACACGTTCTAGTTTTCAATTTTAATCCCTTCTCTTCATCACGGTTTGTGATTTCAGCTTGGATCGATCCTGCCACGTGATTGGCTGATGTTGTTGTTAGCTGCGTTGCATTAATGTGGAAATCGTGGGTCGATGTTAATGTTTAAAATAGTTGATTCTGATCAGTCGACCCAGAGGATCACCAGCAGCCACTCGCAGCTTTGTTCTTCCACCTCATCCTCAGAGGGTTTAATGATGGGGTCTCCACCAGTCTGAGCTCCATCAGCTGAGTGTATTTTGGGGTTGTGAGCATATAGCATACAGCATATGCTCCATTCCTCCGCCTCTGTTTTCATCTTCTTGATCTGCAGCGTTTCTGATGCAGAGAGATTCAGCCTCAGCTCTCAGCTTCCTGTCACAGTTCTGATCCTAATTGCAAACTGTAGCAGTGCACTTCCAGTGGCAAGCAGAGGAAAGGAGATATAGACAAGCTGTCAGAGGAGGCATGGAGGATGAGGACTAGGAGGTATGTGAAAGAGAGAGAAGGAAGGAAGGAAAGGCCATCTGATATTGTGAGGCTGGAAGGAAAAACCTGTCTAAAGTCCCGGCTAATGAGCTGCGGGAGCTTCTTTCCTCTTTGCCTGCAGCAGGCGTGCGTCCTCTCTGCTGACATCTGTGTGGCGGCTGACGGCTGACGGCGCCTCATAAACATGTTGTTCGTCACCAACACTCAGGTCCTGGCGCTGTGGGTCACCTCCGACCCAAAATCAGTGAAGTCTTTGACACGAAAAGTTCTGAAACACGGAAAACAAATGACTGAGGCGTCTGACTCTCAGACTACGACACGTTACTTTATGCCAAATAAAAATAGAAGCAGTTACTGTGCATTATCGGCCCATCGCAGCCCTGATGACTGAGGGCCGCTGACGATTCATGTTCATCCAGGACTGCAGGAAAAGAATTCATCTGTAAGGGAAACGACCTCGAGCGGTCGACTCCTGCGAGTGAAAAAAGCATCTGATAACTCGTTAAAGGCTTACCTGTAAAAACCCTTAACATTAATTATTGTTGGATCCTGACTGAGGCGGCAGCTTTAAATCATTAACGCAGTCGCTGCTGCGCTGCCACTTGTGTAATTCGCACACAGCGCTTCCCTCAAAGTGGAGACGCGCGTCTCAACAGGTACTGATGCACTCAGAGCGAGGACAACGATCCCCCGTCGCACCCGCGCGTCTTTTTGCTCATCTCGAGGTCCCACTGGCCAACCCGCTCGCTTCTGTGAAACTCGGGACTGTGATTGGACAGAAGCATTTACAACACAGAGCAGAGGCAGAGACGGCTCGGTGGCTTCACCTTGTTTAGTGTCAGGTGCGAGGGAGGGGCGCAGAGCTCAGGTGCAACGAGCCGCTGAGAATCTGGTAAAAATTGTTAATAAATGCTGAAAATGTGGATTTTTGGACCAGAACTCGAGATGGGGAGGAAATGAGTTCAGGTTTGAAGCGTCACTACTGGCTAACAATGTGCACAGACATGGCGACATAGCGAGGGCGTGACCTGCAGCGTCCTGCAGCGCGCCCAAAGCTCACGGTTCTTTTTCTCAAATGCTGCATGCATGAAATGTGAAATGCGTAAGTCTGCCATGCGGCTGCTGTTGCAACCGGAACGACACCGGTGACGGTGCAGACACTAAAATGATAAAGATTCCTGACATGTTTTTATGCATAAAAGTCGATGAATTTGTTGAATTTCTTCCTATTTCGACTCTTTGCAACACCAGTAAGAGAAAGTCTCACATGTCGGACATGAGCTGCAGCTTTTTCCCAAAGAGCTGTGACATCACGTCCTGTCATCGTACCTCAGCAGATTCGCTGCGAGCCACTGCGTGCTAGTCCAATCAATGATGGCTGAAAGTCATGTTCATTAAAAAAGACAAGCAGTGCTGCGCAGCAGGTCTGATCAGGGTCAGAATATCTGGACTCGCGTGATCTGATCCGACCTGACCGCTCACGCTTTGTGGCTCTTTAACTGTGGACAAAGAAAACTCAAGTTTACTGTCACAACTTCCTGCCACAAGAGCTTTCTACGCCGTGGTTGCTGTTGAGAAAAACCCTGCAGTGTATATATGTGGAGTCCATGGCAGGGGCAGTCGGCATAAAATCTGTGCCGGATCAGATTTCTGCCTAGGATTGGTCGAGGCCCGGGGTAGCACTGACCGCCACTGTGCCGTTGGCCAACAGGTAGCAGTGGAAACGCTGTAGATCTCACCCTGGGTCAGCACACCTGAATCACGTGATTAGTTCATTACCAGGCCTCTGGAGAACTTCAAGACATGTTGAGGTCATTTAGCCATTTACATCAGCTGTGTTGGATCAAGGACACATCTAAACCTGCAGGACACCGGCCCTCCAGGCCTGGAGTTGGACACCCCTGACATGCAGGGACTGTGCCGGGTCACGGATGTAGTTAAGGACATGTGGTGGATGCTCTCCTGCTGTGGAGCAGCAGAAAGAAGCCTGTGAAGTCTCAGAAGTGCAAATCCATTCATTTGACTGCATATGGACTTTGTGAACTGCTTTGCTTTGACATCGAGGATTATAAAACCCGCTAAACAAACGAACCCAAGTCCCAGTCCAGGCGCTTCTTTAAACCTCAGTGAGCGGGGTCTGCCGAGGCCCTCGGTCTTAACATATCTTAACAATTGGGGCGATCGTGGCTCAAGAGTTGGGAGTTCGTCTTGTAATCGAAAGGTTGCCGGTTCGAGCCCCGGCTTGGACAGTCTCGGTCGTTGTGTCCTTGGGCAATCGTTACTGAGTGTCCTTGCCTACTGGTGGTGGTCAGAGGGCCCGGTGGCGCCAGTGTCCGGCAGCCTCGCCTCTGTCAGTGCGCCCCAGGGCGGCTGCGTGTGAACGGGTGGATGACTGGATGTGTAAAGCGCTTTGGGTTCTTAGGGACTAAGTAAAGCGCCATACAGATACAGGCCATTTACCATTTACTCGTCTAAATCCTCCATCCAGCTAAACAGCAGGCTCTGAGCTTTATTTAGCCTTTAACTTACTCACTATGCAGCTTTCATGCAAATGTCAGAGCAGATATCATCAGAGTCACCACCGAGTTTCATTTTCGTTCGCTGGAGCCAGAGTAGAAGACATCTCCAATAAAAATCCTTCAGCAGTAAAAAGCGGTGAAGTGTGCTTTGCAGACAGATTTAATATCAATACATTGTTTAATTTTCCAGCACGCTTTTTTCCTCCGTCTTCACAATGGGAAAAGGTCTGCTCGTGGTCGCGATCAGCCAGCCTCAGTGTTTGGAAGCCATTACTTCATAACCGCAGCAGGCGGGGCCAGAGCCCCGGTCCTGGCGTTCCCATTATTACCAGTGAGCGACTGATTTGACCTCCTGTGGAAAAGGGATGAAGTCCATAACGCGGTGCACAGCTGTGTTTATTTCAGCGTTTGATGTAAACGCGGCATTAAAGGGGAAACCTCCGCTTAAACATCTGTTGGCTGCTTTGTCCTTTTCGGGGGAAATAATGCGAAGCTGACTCGTGCGGCTTTAAGCTGAAAGTCACTCTGAGCCCATTTGTTCTTACGGCCGGGCCGTCTTCCAGTGTGGCCGGCTCTTTTGTGGTTTCCTGCTACAATCCTGAATTCGGGCCGCGGCCCCGTTTATATCCAATTTATGCTAAAGAGAGGTGCAATCAGTCTCAGTGAGTCTGCAGGGCTGCCGCTGTTGTCAGGGGCAAATTATGGGCTGTTTAAAGTGGTTTGTCATCACGGAGCTGAACTCTGTGCTGCATGCCGTCACTCGGGCCTATTGTGAGCAGCTGTGTTGCTATAGTCACTGTGGTCTTTTTGAAGAGGGCATGCACATGCACACACGGGCTAACATGCCAACCGCACAGCGTGCACGCACACGCACACACACGGGTCATGCAGGAAAACTAATGCAGGGATGATTATGTTCTGTTTTTACAGCTTAAACTCTCCTATCGGAGGAATTTGAAGTCTGTTTCTGAACAGAAGGTTTCAGGTGCTGACAGGAGCCCCGATGCTGCCTCTCAGACCTGCTCCCAGAACCGATCCATAAACATCAAAAACCTGTTCAGGATCATCTCCTGCTGCACCTCTGACCGGCTTCTAGCTCGGCTGCAGAGCACGCCTGATCCTAATCCTTCACCTTGATTTTCAGTTCTGGGAAGTGGGTTGTGTGCAGGCGGGAGTGTCAGGAGCGACTCGTTGCCTTCGGGGTTGGAAACTGTGGATCCTCTCAGCAACGATCCAGCACTCGAAGGCCGCGGCGGCTTAAGAGAGAAGTTGCTTGCATAAGTTTAGGTGGTGGGATCTGAGAGGATGGGTTGGAATCATCAGCTTCTCCGATGATCCCAGTTTAATTCAATTCAGTTTTATTTACACAGCAAATCACAGCAACAGTCGGCTCAAAGCGCTTCATACTGTAAGGTCGACCCTACAATAACACATACAGAGAAAAACCCAACAATCATATGACCCCCTGTGAGCAGCACTTTGGCGACAGTGGGAAGGAAAAACTCCCTTTTAACAGGAAGAATCCTCCAGCAGAACCAGGCTCAGGGAGGGGCGGGGCCATCTGCTGTGGTTGGTTGGGGTGAGAGAAGGAAGACACTTTTAGATTCCTGTTCCCGGATCTCACCCTGCACGGTCCCGCATCAGTCCAAACGTCCAGTGGAACTTTTAAAGCATATATTTGGGGACAGACAGTTTTCTTGGTTCAGGATTATTCCACACGTATCACAGTAAATAATCATCATTTATAAATCATTTACAGACGCAGAAGGCTTTCTCCTTATGTTTCGGGCGAGGTAGAGCATATCGTTTACCGTTTGCAAGGTTGGTGGTTCGAGTCCAGCCTGCGCGCTGAAGTGTCTTTGAGCACAAACCCAGAGTTGATGCAGAGCGTGAGTGTTGCATGCAAAGCTTAGAAAAAGGTGCAAAGATCTGTGCTGCGGAGGTGCGACTCAGCAATGGGGTGGAGTAAAATGAAACATTTAAACATATAGTGACGTAGTGGAGCGTCTCCAGCTCTGATGGACTCTTGTGTTCAGGCCTCTGACTCAGGAGGAGATCGCCGAGCGCAGGGAGCAGGCGAGACGGCGACACGCTGACAGGATGGCAGCGGAGAGCCACCGAGAGCCCTCCCACTCTGAGAGCGTGTCACCTGCAGGACTCTGCACAGGTGAGCTCGTCTCAGTGACTCGTTTCACTCGCTCATCTTTATTATTGTGTCTGAACACAGCTGATGCTCAGTGGTGCTTCAGTGGTTTCAGTGCAGACACACAAACACAGACTCACAAGCTGAAAACATGTCCGCCACGCTGTCACCATAAATCTGCAGCGTACAAGAACTGATCTCGTTTCTCTCTCAGCGAACATGGAGAACCTGACGCTGAAAGACTCGAAGCCAGAGGAGGAAGAGGAGGCGAAGGAGACCTTCGTGGCGTTTGCTCGCGTCTACAGCGGGGTGGTCAGGAAAGGACAGAGAGTATTCGTGCTGGGACCGAAGTACGACCCCGCCCAGAGCCTGAGCACGGTAAGCCCCCCGCTCGCCTGCTGCAGCTTGTGTTCGCGGGACGTTGGACCGTCTCGTCCCGCTGCTGTAGCTGCTTCGATGCTGCCTTCACTTCAGTTTTGTGTTCGCACACTTCCTCCCAGCACAGCTGATGTGATGCAGGCTGACAGGTAGTGTGAGCGACGCAGATCCTCAGGAGAATCTACGTCCCTGTGACTGACGGCAGGTTCCTCCGCTCGGCCTCATGTGTTCATCATTTATCTTCAGCCTCACAGAGGAATATCTGGTTAGCATTGAGTGAACAGCGACTCGAGCTTTTAATGTCTTAACAGCAAACTGTGAACGATTCTGTGTCACCGTGAGGATGGCTCGATGTTACATCAGCGTGTGACCTCTGACCGCCAGCCTGCTTGTTTCCTTGGATAAACTCCGACTTCCTGTGAATAATCTTGGATCTAAAGATTAAACAGCCTCGTCCAAGTCTGCAGATCGAGCTGACATAAAACTACCTTTCAGTTACATCAGGCTGTAAACATGTTTATTTCTGCTCGGAAGTTTTAACATGGGAGTCTATGGGGACAGCTCCCTGCTGGAGCCTCTAGTGGATCATAGTGGAACTGCAGCTTGTGTAAAACACATTATAAATCCTAAAGCTGTTCAATGCACTGCTTCCTGTGTGCTTTGCAGGAATCATGTGAGTAACCTAAGTTTCTCTCCCCTGTGAGTCTCAGTAACGATGCTCTCGTCTCCCCTCTGTCAGCTGCTGGAGGGATGCAGCGCTTCGGACGACGTGTCTGAGATTCCTCACCTGTCCCGTTGCTCCATGGAAAACCTCTACCTGCTGATGGGCAGAGAGCTAGAAGAGCTGCAGGAAGTCCCCGCCGGAAATGTCCTCGGTAAATCTGTCTCTTTGTTTTTGTCGTCGCCTCGCTGCAGCTGTTGTTCGGTGGCGTGCTGGGCTCTAAGCCGTCTGACACACACGAGGTTCTCGTTAATAAAGTTGGATTAATGGCCGACCTGCGGGAGCGTTTGGGGCTTTCTCTGAGGTAGACGTCGTCGAGTTTTCCCTTGGATGTCGTTGGGTTTGTGGTACCGAAAGGGACTGAATCACTCCTGAGTCATGATGAACAGAAGTGTTGCAATACAAAGCTGTTTGATTTTTAAAAAAGGGGCAGAGGTACCAGAGTGTGTATAGAAATGAATCAGTGACTCACAAAGAGCCATTCAGAAACAGCCAATCACAGAGCTTCGAATCCTTCGTGCGCCTCTAACACTGAGCTGAAAGTGCAGAGATGATTTTATTCACTGTATCAATCATGGATCATAGTAGGGAAATCGTTGTGAAGCACAGAAGCTGTGGTAGAGGCGAGCGACAGCAGGTAAGTACACGACAGGCTCCTTCTTTCAGGTTTGACTGATCCAGCTTTCATTTGTTCTGTGTGGGCGCCCCCACATCAGACGCTTTAATGGCTGATGCTGAAGTAGTTGCAGTGAGCATCTGATTGGCCAGAGGCCGAGGTGGTGGGAAGCAACCTGTCTCCAAACAAACACCACTGACTCGGAGTCAGAGCGAGCTCGGAGTGCGAACGCAGTGAAGTCGCACGCCTGCTGTAAACTGTAAATGTGAATTTCTGTGTACATTAATTATCATGTTATCACAAAGAGACGGCGTGTTTGCAGACGCAGAGTTTTGAGGTCGTTCTGTAGGTTTAAGGTTTGAACGGAGCTCTGTGACCGTCCTGTGATGAAACCATCGAAGTCATCGCGAGACTGAAATCAGGGATCAGCTGAGCGTGACGCTCATTTTCTTATAGTCTCCTGTTCAATCAAGCAGAGGAGTCGCCCCCTGCTGGACACTAGGGGGACTGCAGGTTCTGTAACAGGGTCTGTGGGTGAAGCTGTCAGTGTTGGTCAGCTCATAGCTTCACGGATCATTTGTCAGCAATGGGAGCTGCAGGAGTGTGTTTGTCACTTAGAAGCAGAGACTCGGGGACGCTGCAGTGCTTCGCAGCCCGACATGTGTTTCTCCTCTGCATACCTCACTCCTCAAACTTGTGACCTAAATTCTGACTCAAACCCAGATTCCCACATCACGGCTTTAAAGCTCGCTCCCCTCCAAGTTTCTGTGAGAACTCCTGCTTTTTCCACGCACCGCCTTCCTTCGATTCAGCTGATGACCGTACGCGTGCTCGTCTGACGCTCGCGCTTGTATGCGCGTTATCGATCTGCCTCTGTGATCTCCGTGGACGCCGCTGTCTGCTGGCTTTGTGTCTGTACTGCAAACATGTTCATCAGTGACCTTTTTCATTTAAACATTCAGACACACATTACTGTGGATGCTGGGGGGGGGCTGCGTGGGCTCTTTATGAGTCATCACTGGTCAAGTTGCCAAAAAGCAGCTTGGACTCTCTGGACGATGGGCTCGGGGTCAAATTCTTCAGGTACAAATCATGTTTATTATAAACTAATGTTTTTGCTGGCACAGATTTTTCTACCGTGGCTGATGTGAAAGCATCGCTGCATCCTGACACGTGACTGAATGCTGGGCGAGTATTAAAAGTGTCTGTGCACCAAGATTATACACAAAACTCCACAAAAAGACATATTTGCATTTTTCCCCAGGGGCCTTCCTGCATGCACGGTGTCGTTGAAATGCATTTAGCATATTTATCTGATCGCTTTATGACAGGCTCACAGCGATTCGTGAGTCCAGCTTTGGTCTGTGGTGCAAACTGTTGAATTTCTTTTTCTGATC